GGTTATGATCAGGGAATCAAAATCCAAAAGGACATCTGCTCAGCTGACAAGTGAGGCTGATGCAGAGGGGTGATAAAGACCAATTCAGAGATGAAGCACTCTGGAATCCAGTTGGTTTCTTCCAGAGAAATCCTCTGTCTCATGCTTAGAGACTGGGGTTTACACAAGGTATGTCCTTTGCTCATGTTTCCAGCCTTGCTTACAAATTTACTTCACTCTCTGGACCTCCTTGAGTTCCACCAACACATCATGCTCCCTCCTACCACAGGACCTTTGTACATGATAGATTGATCTTTACCAAGTTAGCTCATGCTCATCTTCTTACAAATTCTCAACTCAACAATCACTTCCTCAGCAAAGCCTTGTTTTATTCCCTAGTCTACATCAGGTTTTTAAAAATGCATTCACCAAACCATATTTCCTTTCTTTGCAGGATTTACTTCAGTTTGTAATTATATATTCATTAGTGTGATTATTTTATTAATGTCATTCTAAAGGCAGAAAATTTGTTTCTTTTTATTCTTGTTTCCCTGTGGCTTAATGCAGTGCCTAGCACAAACTAGGTCTCAGTATATAGTTGTGGAGGGCTGTATCATTACTTTTGCTTGATATGGATTTATTTAATAGGTTCCAAAATGGACTAGGTAGGAGCCCAGAGTCAACTCCTTCTTAGAACTGAGAACAGAGTTCAAAGGATCCTAGGTATATAATACTTTTCATAATTAAGAAACATCCTTACTTTATTGAAAAGTCAGGGCTGCCTTTTGCCCTAGAAAACCACTAATCTAGAAATGAGTTGTTATTGTCCTGATGTAGTTAACCCATTAAGGCCAAAGTCTGACCATGTTATGCTAGAACCTGTTACACAAAACAGGGACAGGCTGACTATGGATGAAAGGAAGAGGATACAAGACCAGGTGCCATAAGGCTAGGAATGTTTCACTCTGATATGGTGCTAAACACAAGGCCTGGACCTCAGAGACCTTGCAGGTATCTGATAACTAGGGTATAATGAGCAACATCTTGCAAACACCACCAAACAACAGAACTGAAGGGGGTGTCTAGAACTGAGAAGACTCAGATAATAAATTCAACAGAATAGAATCTACCCTTCTAACACTCAACGTTTCTAGTTTCCTTTTATCTTCAGCAATAATTATGACTATAGACTTCCCTGGTGGTCCTCTTGATTAAGAACTCCACCTGCCAAAACAGGGGACACAGGTTCAATCCTTGGTCTGGGAAGATTCCACATGCCATAGGGCAACTAAGCTCGTGCTCCATAACTACTGAGTCAGTGCTCAAAAGTCCATGAGCCACAACTACTGCAGACCATGCTCTGCAACAGGAGAAGCCACCACAATGAAAAGCCCATGTGGCACAACTGAAGAATCTCCACTCGCCACAACTAGAGAAAGCCCGAGTGCAGCAACAAAGACCCAATGCAGTAAAAAATAAATATAACTAAATAATTAATAAGATAATTATGATTGTGGTGGTCCCTGCTCGCTGATCATTTACTTAGCAAGGTACTGCCCTAAGCATATATGTACACATATACACACATATGTATGAGTATATGTGCATGTTTATAAACACCTTTTACAAAATTCAAACAATCTTCTTTGACAGAGCTCTTCTCTACAGATCGTGATGCAGAGACTTGGCTAAGTTAAGAGCCATGTTAAAGCTTACACAGCCAGCAAGTAGTAGAGCTGGGTGAGAACTTCAGGCTTGCTGGACTCCAAAGACTGTGTTCTCAAGCACAATGCCCCAGTGTCACACCAAATGCTAGTCACTGGAAGCCATGACTTTAAAAACCATATTGCAACACTACTTGCCTTAATGGCTACTAGTACTTTTCTTTACATATACACATTACATAATTCAAATGGATTTTTCAGTATCTGTGATGTCATAGGATATGATAGCTGCATTTTATAATATTGTCATAAATACATAATTATGAAAACAAAAAACATCCACATACTATTTAGAAGCAGTTCGCCTCTCATGTCAGGGTTACTCATACCATACTTCAGGAATCCCACATTTTTCTATCCAGAACCACGTTTCTTCTGCCTCTTTCAGTGGATAAGAAGCACCATGGAAATGGCACTAAACAACATCTGATTTAAGAAGACCTGTCTGGTGGCTGGTGCTTTGCCAAGGCTTTGAAAGGTGGCTGCTTCCTACCCCAGAGGCGGCTGCACTTCAGAGACAACAAGCTAAAGGGGCCCAGTTTGTAGAGTCTGCTCGGTGCTCAGGGCGGTTTGGTTGAAAATAACTATATAGATATCAGTTATTATCATTCTCATGATGACAATGATTATTTTACATATGGCTGCTTTAAGGGTGAATGGAATGGGCTCATTTGTATGCCAGCATCTGGCAGGCTGTCACACATCTGCAGAATATAACCTCAACTGTGCTATTAATACTTCCCCTCTGCGTTCTCCCCAAGGCATCTGTCTCCTAAAGTGCCTAAAGAAACTTCGCTCCCTCTTGAAGCCCTAGAGGCAAAATTCGGAAAACATGTCACCTAGACTGGGGACAGCAGAAGCTCAGAGTGACAGCAGCTGAGCCTGAACAGATTTCTGGCTCTTGGAATAGATGTCAAGGCAGACAGGGAACCACCACCCACACTCGTTCTGTTAGCAGCTGCACTTCCAGGCAGAATCTGGGGGCAGATTCTCCTAGGCTCACACAATATGTCCCATCTGCTCTGTGATCAACAAAAGATGTCAGTCGTGGTCTTCATGGTCAGTTCTCAGTCTCCATAATCCCCACCACTGGCTTATAGCTGCCTTCCCTGAAAAGCCTTGGGAGACTCTTCTGTGGCGGAGACCAGGGGACTGTGCACCTAAACCGGGTCTTTTTATTCATGTGCAACAGCTGTACTACATTTCCCAGCCTGCCTCCCAGTTAGAGGTGGTCATGGGATTGAGTTAGCCAATGGCACGCACGCTAATTTAGAACCTGGCTCACTGGCGTCTCCCTTGTGTGGTCCTACACCATCTTCCTCTTTTGCTGTACAGATGCCGATAAGGCATCGTAACACTGGGGAACCACAAGATGGAAAGAACCCGAAGCTCTGAATCACTGGTTAGAGGAGGCTGCCTGCTGATGGTGATCAGCAATATCGGACTTTACAGGAGAAATAATCTTTTATATGTTTGAGCCATTATGGACTGTATTTCATATCAGAACATTCAGAGCATTACTATAACTAATATACCCTTATGGTGAAATCACCAGATTCTATTTCATTATCAATTATCTAATGGATTATCTCCACTTTAGTGACCTACTCGTATTTCAAACTTGACATGTCCCATCAAAATGGTACTTTCTGTATGTCAGAATATCCTAAGTACTGGGATACAGGAATGAATCATACAAAGTTCCTTCTCTCATAAAATACACATTCAAAGACGGGGAAGCCCGAAATACACAAATTAAAAAAAACATAAGTTAATGGGGATAGAAGGTTATTGGGGGTTCCTTGGGAGTTAGTGGGAGGAAATGCCTCTGAGGAGGTGACAGGAGATTGAAATCTATATGATGACATGTAAAAAGTCAGCCCTTTGGACTCTGGGGGCAAAGTATTCCAAGAAGAGGGAACAACAAACGCAGAGAATGGAAGGAAGAACAAGCATTACCGAGGAACAGAAAAGAGGTCAGGTGGCTGAAGAAGAGTGACTTCGGGGAGAGTGGTATGTCAAGACAGCAAAGAGGGGGGCAGGGACACGACCATGTGAAATCTTACAGTCCAAGGTTAAGAACTTGGACCTTATTCTAAGTTCGAATGGAATCTGCCAGTGTGTTTTAGTCCTGGGAGGAATGATATACGAATTACACTTTGAAAGGCCCGCTCTATTATGTGGGACATGTATGGTGTAGGACAGCGAGAAAGAACAGAAACCAGGGAGTAGAATATTGCAGTCACAAAGGTGAAAGCACCATGGCCGATACTGGTGTGGGTTGGCAGGAGTGGAGATGGAGAGAGATGAGTTGATTTGAGATACATTTTAGAGGAAGCAAAGGCAGGGCTCGTGGACAAATTGGGTTGGGGGGTAGAGAGGCTGGTAACTGGGAGAAAGGATCAATATTGACTCTTATGTCAGTTGCTCAGCTGCCTGGGTGGTGAAATCATTAAGATTGGGAATTCAAGAGAAGAGTCAGGTCTGTGGTGGGATGAACCACATGATAGGTGCTGAATAAATGACTGATCTTAACATGAAATATAGGGTCAACATATTAGGATGAGAATGCTGGGTCATATACTCATTCAGCAGTTGTCTTGATTTCTCTAAATTTGAGTTAACAGAAGATAATAATAATTTCAATATGGGGTTGTTATATCCAATATACTCTTGGCAGGAAGAGACTGAAGAAGTATGATGGGGACATGAGCATTGCTAATAAAGTTTGATTTTCTGATTTAGACGTTACTTATACAGGAGTCCTCTGCCTGTGAAAATTCATCAAGCTGGACAATTATGATATGTGCACTTTTCAAAATGAGATTCTATATCTTAAGTTCCCAGCGCAGTGCCTGGAATTCAACAAATCCACTATTACTTTCATTATTATGATACAATGAAAACCATTTCCTATGTAACTGTGGTCCATTATGTAGATACAGGCCATTTGTGAATCCATCAACAAGAGGAAGGAACCTTACACTAAACTCTAGAGTCTGGTCTTATAGCTGATAAAGTTCTAATTCATGACACACAAATGCTTCTGCATAAAGGAAGTGATTCAGTGTTCTAACCCAAAGGTAGTCCTGGTTCACTACTTGCAATTCAATACTTCCCTAACTTTGGACAAAAGCGTATCACAGATGCCAATATAATTTAAAAGGGAACAGATCTCCACAAGTGCTAAGTCTTCGACAGTGATTGCCCCTTTCTCTTCCATTTCTTCCCAAGCTTGCTCATACCTGAATAGTCTTGATTCAAGCCAACTGGTAATTTGCCCCAAAGAAAGGATACTAAAACTTTGATTGGTTATTTCAAAGTTCCATAGGTTAATTCTCAGGTCATCAGCTGACATGTAGGTTTCATAGTCGCTGTTGACTGATATAGAGTTGATGTGATATGTGTGCGCGTTGGCAAATACTCTTCGCGGGGTGGCCTCCACCATCAGGTCCATGGGTCTCAGGACAGGCACCTGGGATGCAAGAGAAACAAACTGCTTCAGAACCAAAGCTCTTCATTAGGAAAGAGTGTGTGTGTTTATGTCCTTCATTATTACACACAAAATCATGACCACATCACATCAAAGGAGATCTAAGCTAGAGAAAGAGACTGATAAATTACATGCTGTTCCTATTCCCTTTGGTGCCTTTTAGTTTCACTCTTTTTAAAAAATGTCACCATCCCTTAGCCCTCATGGGCAATTTCATCCTTTGTAGACTCTAAGATTTTTTTCAAGTGGCCTCCTCTCAGGGGAACTTTGAATCCACTGTGGGGTGATTAGCTGCCAGAGATGTTGTTCCAGATTGTTTGTCTTTTAAAACATGAAATCTATTTTTAGAAGGAAGTTGTAGAAATGTTTAGAAATGTCTAGATCAACTGAGATTAAAATTTAGTCTTCATGGCTTTGGGAGCCTAGGCCCCATCCTGGTTCTATCTTCCATCTTTTTAAAAGAATTTTGGGAAAGCATATAATCACGCAATTCTAGTAGCCCAAAATCAGTCATTAAAATATAGGGAACCCATTGTTTTATCTGGGAAGATCTTGGTTTAACCTGTATATCAACAAGGCAGTGTACACTGTGATGTCAAAACTGTCCTCATTTGGACAATAAATTATATGGTCATCTTACTGATACATAAAGGATACTTAGTATTTGTAGAACGAATAAGTGAGAATATGTGAACAATTGTTATCTTCTTATGGGTCAAAGAATCAGACAGTTAAATAGTTTTGCACACAAGGGACTTTCCTGGTGGTCCAGTGATTAAGACTTTGCCTTCTAATGCAGGGGGTACAGGTTCCATCCCTGGTTGGGGGGGCTAAGATTTCACAAGCCTTGTGACCAAAAAAAACCCGAAACATAAAACAGAGGCAATATTGTAACAAATTCAAAAAAGACTTTAAAAATGGTCCACATCTGCTGGGAAAACTGGTCAACCACTTATAAAAGAATGAAACTAGAACACTTTCTAACACCATACACAAAAATAAACTCAAAATGGATTAAAGATCTAAATGTAAGACCAGAAACTATAAAACTCCTAGAG